CTCCTCCTCCTCCTCCTTCTAGAAAGGCTAGCTATACAGGGTCTTGCAACCTAGCAGGTAGAGTGAGACCCACCTTAGATTCGTGACCCTTGGGCTGAACTTCTAAAAACCCATTTTTTTCTTCCCCCTCCTAGTTTCTATCCAAGTTTCAGGGCGACACCTTCCTTTTACCTTGGAAGGCAGGGCTGTCTGGAAAGATCAGAATCGGCTGGTTTTTATACGTGATGGTTTTCAGTTTCTCAACCTGCTGCAAAATTCTCTCTGTGTCCCTTCGTTCCCACAGCCAAGCCACAACAGCCCTGCAGAGGTCTTTGCTTGCCTTCTGCTCTTGGCCAGCAGCAACCCTGTAAGCCCTTTCCACCTTAACGGGGTCTTCTCCAGGGTCTAGCTTGAGGATGCCTGGCAACCATTTCTCCAGGAAGGCGACCAAGTCTTGGCCCTCCTCTTCTTCAGGCAAGCCACAGACCCTCAGGGCTCGAGGCAGTGTTTCTTTTTCAGTCTTCTGCAGTTGGCCACCGAGCCATTTCTTCCTGTCAGGCAGCTGTTCGACAGCTGGCCGGCACCCTCTGGCTTTTGAGCTCTCCTTTCCAGGGGTTGTGTTCCCTGAAGCTGACCGGGCCAGGCCGTGAATCAGTCCTTCCAGGGTGTCCATACGGGAGTTCAAAGCTGAGACCTTCCCACCAAAGGAACTCACGGCCTCTGTGGTTTGGTCCACTTTTCTCTTGATCTCCAGCATCAGATCTTTTAGGGACGCATCTCCACTGTTGAAGGAGACGCAGGGCTCAGCCCTGGCGCCGGGCAGTACAGACCTTAAAGACCAAGAGTCCCTCTCTTGAGTCCGATGGAGATTCTTGGAAAGGCCTGTTGGTGGGGTTGAGCTGTTATTTGGCATTTTCATGCCAGCAGCAGAGTGTCTGGCTTTCTCCAGGTTCTAGGCTACATGCAGCCTTTGTTTCTGCTCTATCCGACCAGCTGCTCAACTGAACGGCCTCTATTGGCCCTAACTAAGTGCTTCTTTGCTGTCACCCGCATGTGGAGGAGGTCACACAATGCATCACAATGACCCTTCCTGTCCCCCCCAGGGCTATATGCTGTGCTGCCCTTGAACGTCTAGGTGCACTAAACAATGAGGCCATTTAGTGACTGAGTTAAATTATTTAAACGCCTTGCCACCCAGCAAGTCCCTCACCTAATCGCTTGCACACCTGGACCTTGGAGAATCCCTTTCCAAACCTGGAGACCAGACCAAAGTCTTAAAGGTAAAGGTAAAGGTTCCCTTGCTCGAAAGCTGTTCCCTTCCCACCGAAGTGGACCCTATTTATCTACTTGCAATTTCTTGCTTTTGAACTGCTAGGTTGGCAGGAGCTGGAACTAGAGACGGGAGCTCACTCCGTCATGTGGCAACCCGGGTCTCGAACTGCTGAACTACTGACCTTCCACAGCCTGTTAAGATGTTGTAAATGAAATGTGAGGGTCCCACAAGGACCCACGGGCCAGGAGAAGATCTCAGTTCCCCCTTGTGCTTTCCCCTGTTCTTTCCTTCTCTCCCACCTCCAACCACCTATTTTTACCTACCAACCTTTTTTGTGGTTCTCCCTCTGGCAGACTCTTTCTCCTTCTCTCCCTCGCACCCGTTACCTTTTCCTGCTCTGTTTCCCCATCTTCAGTTTTCCCCTTTTTTAATTCCTCTTCCCTCCAGCTTTACCTTGCCTCTTTACTATCTTTCCCCTTTTTTACCAGAAAAGAGCAAGAGTCCAGGAGCACCTTAAAGACTAACAGAATTTGTGGCAGGGGAGGAGCTTTCCTGGGTGACTGCTGAAGTGGAGCAGCGACTCACGAAAGCTTCTCTCCCACCTCCCCAAATTCCCTGCCACAAGGTGCTCCTGGACTCTTGCTCTTTTCTGCTGCTACAGACAGACTAACATGGCTAGTTGGCTACTCGTCTTGATCTATTCCTTTTTTTTTAGTTTGTTTCCCTCCTTGACACACTAACTGAGCCTCAGAATCCTTGGTAATGTCGATTGTGGGTTACCCCATAAAATGGCAACCATATCTCACAACGTACTCTCATGAGATTCCGGCGGCACACTTGTCTTGAAGAAGCAGACATTACTTCTATGATCTCTGAGTTTTTCAGACCCCAAATATATATTTTAACGGCTTGTAGAAAAATACCCCCTGTCTGGCCCAGGCCTCATAGTGTGAATTTTTTGATCCACACCCTGTGCCTTAGTTCAGAATTGGATCTAATGATATGTATGATGTAACTTGCCCTGAGCCCGCTTGCGAGATGGGTGAAATATAAATGCAAAAAATAAATAAATGAATAAATATCACGAAGGCAGTCGATCACTAGCATTGCTAATTGTGAAGAGCTGAATGGGAATTGCAAACCAGAATACACCTAAGCAGGGGTCATTTCGTAGAAAAAGAGGTGCAGGAGCTCATTAGCATAACTAATTAGCATAACTTATTTGCATATGCCCCCCATGACATCACTGGAAGTGTGTCAGAAGGCAACACCCACCGCTCAGGCTCCACTGGACTGTTTTGGATTGTTAGCTATTGGGGGTGGGGGGTGCAGATCTGTCCTCGCAGAGGAGGGAGAGCTTGTACCTGAATAAAACTTGGTCTTAAAGGTGCCACTGGACTGTTCTGGACCGGGGGGGCAGGGGGGGCCTCTGCAGCTTACCTGGCTGCTTTTTGCTCTGACTGAGGGCTGCTGGGAGCAGGGGATGGGGCTTGTTGCACGTGCCCACCCCCTGGGCTCTTTACTGCCGGAGCTCCACTCCTGTGCGCTCCTGCAGGAAATGACCCCTGCCCCTAAGTTAAAAGAAACACCTGGGGCAACTTCTTGGTAGTGATTAATCATCTTGTATGTTTCTGCTTTCTTATTAACCGGTTAGTTTCTTTTCTAGGAAACAGACAGCTTGGATACCATGCAATGAAAAGGTTTTGAAAAAAATAAACACGACTTACCCTCAATCTGGTCAGCAGTGAATTCAATCTGCAGGAGGGGGAAATGGCAGCAGTTAGTTCTTTGATATTCTTTAATCTCTCTTTCAACCTGTATTGATGGTGTGAATGAGTTGTACATGCCAGGGTGCAGATTTCAGGATGGTCAGTTACCCCCTTAACTCTTTCAGGGCTGACTAGCTGACTGTCCATCCATCGTCTATACAGCCATACCATTTTACCCTGCTGTTCTCCCAAGGAGCTGAAGGAATTAACCGATATTTCAGTTGTTTTTCATATTAAAATTGTTTTAAGCCATTCCTCATTCAGCTAATCTTTATCTGTAAACACAGAAGGGTGGGGGGTAGCATTTTTTGTTGTTGTTGTTGTTCAGTCGCACAGTCGAGTCCGACTCTTCGCGACCCCATGGACCGGATCACGCCAGGCCTTCCGGTCTTCCGCCGTCCTCTGAGGTTGGCTCAACTTTATGTTCATTGCATCTATGACACTGTCTAACCATCTCATCCTTTGCCGTCCCCGTCTTCTTTGACCTTCAACTTTTCCCAGCATCAGCCTCCTGCAACTAGACAGCGCAAAGTTCTTCACTTCCAACACTTTGGGGGCTCCAGTCCCCAACACAGCCCATGAATTGTAAGCTGTCGTAAGGCATCCTTTTTCACTTATGTAAAATGTGATGCGATTTGGGATACTAACAGCAACAGATAAACTGATGTCATGAGACTGCGTGAAGGACGGGGTATAAATCCAACTCTCCTCCTCCTTCTTATACAGTGCAAATGTTCATCTAGTAGCAGAAAAGGGCCAGCACCAGAGTTGCCAATCCCCAGGTGGGGACTGGAGGTCTCCCAGTACTTCAGTTGATCTCTAGACTGCAGAGACCAGTCCCCCCCAAAGAAAAGGGCTGCTTTGGAGGGTGGACCCTCAGTTCCCCCTTGGTACCCTGCTGAGGCCCTTCGGCTCCCCAACACCAACGCCACCCTCCTCTGGCTACATTCCCCCAAATCTCCAAGTATTTCCAAATACCCTGCAATTGGGGCTTCCAACCTCCAGGTGGTACCTGGAGATCTCCTGGAATTACTGATCTCCAAGCGACGGAAATCAGTTCACTTGGAGAAAATGCAAAGTGGGCTCTCTGGCATTATAGTCTGCTGTGGTCCCTCCCCTTCCCAAACCCCACCCTCCTCTGGCTCCACCCCCAAAATCTCCAGGTATTTGCCAGCCCAGAGCTGCCAACCTGACCTGGAGCTTTGGCCTTAAGGTTCTTCAGTCACTGGAATCCTGCCGTAAACCAAGGCTTGGCTACAATATTTCCCTCAGCTTCCTTCCTACTCTGCCCTCATGGCCTAATGGGCTGAATTATTCTCATCCGGACTCTAGTTCTTGCCTCGCAACTTCACCAAAGCTGAACTACAGTCTCTAGCAGAAGGAAAGGGTAACCAGCTGACTGCCTTGAATGCCTCTCCGAAGCTCCTCCACGTGCAAAACTCACCAGTTCTGCCAGAATTCATTTCCTTCTTTTATACCCTGCCTTTCTCCTCAAGGGAGCTGCAGTGGCTCAAGTGGTTAAGACACTGAACTGCAGGCTGGAAGGCCGGTAGTTCAGCAGTTCGAGACCCGAGTGCCGCATGACGGAGTGAGCTCCCGTCTCTAGTTCCCGCTCCTGCCAACCTAGCAGTTTGAAAGCAAGACATTGCAAGTAGATAAATAGGTACCGTTTCAGTGGGAAGGTAACAGCGTTCTGTGCACCTCGGCGTTTAGTCATGCCGGCCACAAGACCACAGAAACGTCTTCGGACAGCGCTGGCTCTTCGGCTTGGAAACGGAGATGAGCACCGCAACCCTAGAGTCGGATTTGACTGGCTTTCGAGCAAGGGAACCTTTACCTTTCTCCTCAAGGGGGTCACAAAGCAGCTTACATCTTCTCCTCTCCTCCATTTTATCCTCACAATAGCCCGGGGATTCGAACCCACAGCAGTGCTTAAAGGCTGAAGAGAGTCAAGCAGGGGAGGGGGGCTTCAGCTTCCCCCACTCACCATTTTCCTGAGCTGAACTGGGCTCTAGAGAGCTTGGGAGTGTCAGTACCCTGATATAACGTTTATCTATAAGGTTGGGCAACTCCTTGATCATATCCAGGAGGAGGAGGAGGAGGAGAAGAAATTAGTAGTAGTGGTGGTGGTGTGGGTTTTTATACCACACTTTTCTCTACCTTAGGGAGTCTCAAAGCAGCTTACAATTGCCTTCCCTTCCTCTCCATAGAAGAAGAAGAAGAGAAGTGATTGGATTTATACCCCCGCCCTTCACTACCCAAAGGAGTCTCAGAGTGGCTTACAAACTCCTTTCCCTTCCCCTCCCCACAACAGACACCCAGTGAGGCAGGTGGGGCTGAGGGAGCTCTTGACAGAAACTGCTTTTTTTCAAGAACAGCTCTTATCAGAACTTATAAAAGTTCTCAGCTGCTTCGAGGTTAATGGATGTGAGATTCTTGGCTTTTATGCAGGGGGGGGGGAAGCGTGTGGATTGCCACGCAAGCAGGCGATGAAAACTGCAACCAGTTTAGAAGTCAGTCCCGCTTGGAAAAGCTTGAGAACGGCCAAGCAAAACCGCTTCCAAACTATTAATAAACTTTCCTGACTACCTCTTGAAAGAATGCCACACTATCAAAGCAAAGGCATGGAGCACTCACCCTTGCTGCTTGGACCCCATGGAGATAAAAGATCTCTGGAATTTTTTTTTGGGGTGGGGGAGGCTGGGGGTGCCAGGCAAATGATAGCTGGAAATACAGAGCCATGCGTAGGTATTTATTACACAAATTCAGGGAGGATAAGCCTACAGCAGTTAAACTGAACCTTCATGTTCAGAGACAGTATACCTCTCAATACCAGCTGCTGTGGAAACACACACACTTTTGTTAGTGCGTGTATATAAGAACATTAGAGAAGCCAATGTTGGATCAGGCCAATGGCCCATCCAGTCCAACACTCTGTCACACAGTGGCCAAAAATACCAGATGTTTTTCCAATTCCCTCTTGAAGCCGTCCATGCTTGTAGCCACAGGAGGGGGCAGTGAATTCCATGTGTTCATCACTCTTTGGGTGAAGAAGGACTTCCTTCTATCTGTTCTAACCTGACTGCTCAGCAATTTCATTGAGTGCCCACAAGTTCTTGTGCCCACCACAGTCAGTGGTGGCGGCTACAAGCATGGACGGCTTCAAGAGGGAATTAGATAAGCATATGGAGCAGAGGTCCATCAGTGGCTATTAGTCACAAAGTATAGAGAGGAACTCTCAGTCCAGGGCAAGGGATGCTCTGTATTCTCGGTGTTGGGTGGGGGGCAAAAGTGGGAGGGCTTCTAGTGTCCTGGCCCCACTGCTGGACCTCCTGATGGCACCTGGTGTTTTTGGCTGCTGTGTGACAGAGTGTTGAACTGGATGGGCCATTGGCCTGATGCAACACTGGCTTCTCTTATGTTCTTATGTTCCCTCCTGAGACGGAGGACTGGCATTGCATTAATGGCTAAGAACATGAGCCGCATCTCTGCTCAGAACTCAGCCAGTGTCCTCAGACAACCTCCTTTCTCTTGCTGCCTCAATGTTCCCAGCTGCAGAATGGGGACAATAATAATAGTAGCCTACTCTGCAGGCATAAGGAACACTCATACAAGGTATGTGAAGCAATTCAAACGCTCAGAAGGTGCTAATAAATAGCATTCTTTGCCCTCTGAAACTATTCTTTACCTGGTTTCCTTTTCTTCCCAAAATTTCCTTTTTCCTTTTTTTTTTTTTTTTTGCTGAGGCCAGGCTGGGAGCGTGTGACTGGCTCAAGGTTACCCAGCAAGCTTGCATGGCAGATAAGGGATTCAAGACTGGGTCTCCCATATCCTAGTCTGGCACACTAACAGCTACACTACAGTGGCTCTGTAGGCTGGGAACATGGGAGGAGGAGGAGGAGATTGGATTTATGCCCCGCCCAGGGCCGGCTCGCTCACTAGGCGAACTAGGCACTCACCTAGAGTGCGCCGGCCCTTAGGGGCGCCAAACTGGCATACACACACTCCTTCCTGGTTCAGCTGCAAACACTACTGAGTTTTACACATGTTAAACCTTTCTGATGATACAAACGCCAATTCCACCAAAGAACTTAGCCCTCTGGGCACAGAAGGGTCACTCAGCTGAGTCAAAGAAGAACCTAAGTAGGGGGGCTATTACATAAGGACACTCAAATTGCAACTGACTTATGGCAACCCCAGCAAGGAACTGTCAAGGCAAGTGAGAAGCAGAGGTTGTCTGCGACTGCGAGTGCCTTTCTTTGCAGAGTCTTCCTTGGTGGAAGCCAGATGTGCAAAGCAGGCAAAGTTACAAAAGCAAAAGTGAGTGTTAAGAGCATGGGTGCCAGGGGAACAGGAGGTCTGGGCTACAGATCCAATTAATGGGTCCGAGCCATGGGGGGAGGCGCCAGAAGGGATCCTTGCCTAGGGTGCAAAATAAGCTGGGGCCAGCCCTGGCCCCGCCCTTCACTCAGAGTCTCAGGGCGGCTTACAGTCTCCTTCCCTTCCTCTCCCCACAACAGACACCCTGTGAGGTAGGCGGGGCTGAGAGAGCTCTGAGACAACTGTGAGTGACTCAAAGTCACCCAGGAGCTGCATGTGGGGGAGTGGGGACTCAAACCCAGTTCTCCAGATTACAGTTCGCTGCTCTTAACCACTACACCAAACTGGTGTACCTGCTACCTACTACGTACATACTCTGGCCTCAAACTGAACTAGGCCTGTGTGCACTTGGGAATTAAATTCCCAGCAGAGAAATTGAGGTGCGTACCTGATCCAAAGCCCTCAGGGCAGCCATATGCCTACCATGTGGATGTCAAAAGGTGTCAGTTGGCCTTTTCCTGACAAAATGCTGGCCCCAGTAAAAACAATCCTATTCATAGGCTGTAGTTAGGGTTTCCAGTTCTCGGTTGGGAAATGCCTAGATGTTTTGGAGGTGGAGAGCGGGGTTTGGGGAGGGGAGAGCCTTCAGTGGAGTGTAATGCCACAGAGTCCACCTGCCAAAGCGGCCATTTTCTCCAGGTGAACTCATCTCTGTCACCTGGAGATCAGTTGTAATCCCAGGAGATCTCCAGCCACCACCTGGAGGTTGGCAACTCTAGCCACAGTTCTAAGAACTGGGAGTAAGCCCTGCTGAATAAAATGGGACTTACTTCTGAGTAGAACTGTTTAGGATTGCTCCCATGGGCTTCTAGCATGTGGGGGCGCAGCTATGCTAAAGGAGCTTTCTCTCTCTTTTAGTGGTCCTTGTATGGGGAATTTGTTTTGTAGAAAGAAATACGAGGTGTGCTCCTCTCCATAGCCTCAACTGGTGAAGCTCAGGCACACTTCATCTGTGAGATTTATATATTTACTAAGAATAAGGCCTGTTGTGGAAATTAATACAACGAGCTCTAGAAAGAAGCTCTCTGTGGGTGTCTCGGCCTTAGGCACTCAGCATCAATTTGCTGTGGTGACCTCAGCAGGTTATAATGACACAGAGTCCACAATTTTTTCCAGGGGAACTGATCTCTGCCATCTGGAAAGCAGTTGTAATTCTGAGTGATCTCCAGCCCTCACTTGGAGATTGGGAACAATGGTTGCCCAGGAGGAAAAGTACAGTCTTTCTCTGCAGTGGGGACCAAAGCGGCTTACATCATTCTCCTCTCCCCCTTTCAATCTGCACAACAACCCTGTGAGGTAGGTTAGGCTGAAAGTCTGTGACTGGTCCGAAATCACCCACTCAGCTTCCCCAGCAAGAACCTAGGTCTCCTTGGGAGAAAATAACTGCTTTGGTGGGTGGATTCTATGGCATTCTATTCAGCTGAGGCCTCTCCCCTCCCCAAACTCTGTCTTCCATAGACTCCACCACAAAACCTCCAGGAATTTCCCATCCTGGAACTGGTGACCAATGAGTTCCCCACAAAGGCCAAAGTAGGCCTGGAAAGGGCCTCCTGCCCCTGCCTTTTTACTGACAGAACCAAGCTTGGTTGCCTAGCAACGGCCACTGAGAGGAAAGTGAGCCAGACAGCAGTTTGGGCAGTTTATTCAGCCAGGGAATGGCTAAGCCGGCAGTGGGCGGGGGAGAGGAGTGGACCCAGCACCCAGCAAATGGCACACAAGTACTCTTGAGTGGTGGTTGATTGGCCAATGGCTGATGGAGTGCACAGCACAGCCAATGGGAGAGGCGGAAAGTGCCAATACGCTGGGCTTTAATATATATATAGGATGTAAATATCATACAAACTATGTGAAAATATATTATTTATGTATATAATTTTAAACACTGATATGTAAAAACACATAAAAGAAATTAACCCTCAGTACCAGCCAAGTGGTTAAGACTAAGACACTGAACTGCAGGCTGTGGAAGGTCAGTAGTTCAGCAGTTCAAGACCCGGGTGCCGCATGACGGAGTGAGCTCCCATCTCTAGTTCCAGCTCCTGCCAACCTAGCAGTTCGAAAGCAAGAAATTGCAAGTAGATAAATAGGTACCGCTTTGGTGGGAAGGTAACAGCGTTCCATGCGCCTTGGTGTTTAGTCATGCTGGTCACATGACCACAGAAATGTCTTCGGACAGCGCTGGCTCTTCGGCTTTGAAACAGAGATGAGCACCGCAACCCTAGAGTCGGATTCAACTGGCTTTCGAGCAAGGGAACCTTTACCTTTTACCTTTACTTACCAGCCAAAAAAAACGACGGACCAGTACCTTTCAGAATTTTTTGGCAGTCTCATTTAATGTTAATAAAAGGCAAATTTGCATATTTCTCAATAAAAATGTGTTTTGTCTTCGCTCAGGAAGGAGGGGCTCATCTCTGTTTCCAAACCGAAGAGCCAGCACTGTCCAAAGACGTTTCTGTGGTCATGTGGCTGGCATGACTAGATGCCAAGGCGCACGGAACACTGTTACCTTCCCACCGAAGCGGTACCTATTTATTTACTTGCAATTTCTTGCTTTTGAACTGCTACGGCAGGAGCTGGGCTCAGAGACGGGAGCTCACTCCGGCATGCGGCATTCGTTCGGTCTTGAACTGCTGAACTACCGACCTTCCGGTCTGCAGTTCAGCGTCTTAACCACTTGAGCCACCGCAGCCCTATTAATGGCATAATAGTATACAGTAAATACATTTAAGAAGCTACATTTAATTCCAGTAAACAAATTTAGACAATAAAACGTACATATCATGTAAAAAGTCTGTATCTAAGTGCGGCTGATTCTGCTAAGAATTTCGCAACCACCATTGTCGTATCAGTATTAGCATCATTAAGAAAATGTTGAACAGTTTTGAGATTATTAGTAAATAAGCGTGGCCGAAGGGGTAAGAGTTTCATACGTGAGGATGTGTGCAGCCGGCAGTCCAAGATCATATGGGGGCCATGCCAGAACATCTGCAGAGTCTTTCCTGAGGGGGGATGTGGTTAAATCGACCCCACAACATGTCTGAGGGAAAGACGTTCAGCTGAGGCAACGTAAATTATATGCGAGATACGCTTAGCCGCTGCCCAGAATGGGGTATTCACAGAGCCACAGCTCACACGCATACTGATGTACATGTTCCTACATGGCCGGGTTGCCAGCTCCGGGTTAGGAAACACTGGAGATTTTGGGGGTGGAGCGTGGGGAGGGTGGGTTTTGGGGCGGGGAGGGACCTCAGCAGGGTGCAGTGCCATGGAAACCACCCTCCAAAGCAGCCCTTTTCTCCAGGGGTCGTCTGGAGATCCACTGTAATAGCGGGAGACCTCCAGGTGCCATCTGGAGGTTGGGAACCCTACAACACGGAGACCAGCTCAGTGCAGAAAAGGAATAATCCCTAAAGTCGTCTTCAGAATCAATAGAAACTGCAGGCTCTCTCTCCTGCCCCAGGAAGCTGGGAAGATGCTTGAATATTTCCATGCATCCAGGTCATATTCTATAAATAGGATAAAAGAATTAAGAGGTTTGATGTTGCCTTTTCCTTCTGAGGCTGAATGGTGGGTTCAGATCCTCATTATTCCGTTCTCTTCATCAATTCCGCTCTTAACTGCCTGAGGCTGAGCTCTCCATTCGATTTCTGGCGAGCAGAGCAAAGGTCTTGCAAGGAGCTCTTGCTTCTAACTAGCGACTCAGGTTAAGCAGTTACTTGGCTGCGGAGGAGGCGAGATTGTGTGAGGAGATCGGCTTTAAAAGCAGCAGCACAGCATTACTTAAATTAGCTTAAAGATAGGCAGACTTGCCAAGCATCGTCTGACTCTGAACTCAGCTGGGCTGAGCTTTTGTGCATCTTGCGAAGGTCAAAGAAGAAGGGGACGGCAAAGGACGAGATGGTTAGACAGTGTCATTGACGCAACGAACATGAAATTAAGCAAACTCCAGAGGACGATGGAGGACAGGAGGGCGTGGCGTGATGTGGTCCATGGGGTCACGAAGGGTCGGACTCGACTGTGTGACTGAACAACAACAAACCTCAATAGCTAAAGAACATCATTTGGGGAAGAAATTCAGCAGCATGCAAGTTTTAGAGCTTTCTGTGAGAGGAAGGTGGAGTCTTATGGAGCCAGCTTTTGAAGCACCGGAGGAGGGACAGATAGATTCCTCTTGAAGTTAGGGTTGTCACCAGTGTTCCCTCTAGGCTGAGTTAGTGTGAGCTAGCTCACAGTTTTTTAGCCTCCAGCTCACACATTTTTGTTTCAGCTCAGGAAGGAGGGCTCCAGAGCAAACTAATTCATGCAGTGGCCAAATCACCTGCTCACAAATTTAATGCCGGTAGCTCACAAAGTAGAATATTTGCTCACAGGACTCCACAGCTTAGCGGGAGCATTGGTTGTCACATCCCCCCTGGCCACCAGCAGGGGATAGAGGCATAGGGCAGCCAGATCCAAGTTGGGAAACTCCTGGAGATTTGGGGATGGAGCCTGGGGAGGACGGGGACCTCAGTGGGGTACAGTGCCACCGCGTCTACCCTCCAAAGCATCTGGGGTTTTTTCTCTCTCCAGGGGAACTGATCTCTGTAGCCTGAAGATGAGCTGTAATTCCAGGGAATCACCAGGTCCCACCTGAAGGCTGGCGTCCCTACTTAAAACAGGAAACCGTCCATCTGCTCCTTAGGATTAGCAAGTCTGGGGCAATGATGCTGAGCGGCAGCGCCCCGTCCTAACCCTTCTGGTGAGTCTGTGGCGGGGGGGGGTGTGTGTAAGCCGATCACCTCTGTGCCCTCCGGTCGCTAGGAAAGAACGCAATCGGGTACCTCCAGTTGGCCTACTTACGGTCACGCTCTTGGGATCGAAGGCAGGTTCCTTGGGTGGTTCCGGGGCGGGAGCGGGTGCGGCCGCTGGCTTGGCAGCCTCTTTCTTGGGATCCGGTTTTTTAGGGGCCATGGCGTTGGGCCGTCACTTGTGAAGGAGCTGGGATGGTTGGCAGCAGGAAGGCAGCGAGGCAGAGGAACAGAGCGCCAGCTGGGCTCCAAGGGCTTATATACTCAGCTGTGGGTCTCTCTCCCTCTCTCATCAGAGGGGTGGGCGACGGCAACTGGTGTTTACTATAAAAGGAAGGCGCTCCAAAAAGCAGCCTCCCCCCTCCCCCCTCCCGACAATTGTCCTTTGTCATCAGTGCAGAGACGGTGGAGTCAGTCACCGATACCGACATCCTTCGGCCTCACAGGGTTCTGGGGGGACACCTGGGCCCGGAAGGGTTCGGGACTCAAGTGCCGAAAAGACTTTTATGGATGCTGTGCCCCGAACACTGAGCAGAAGAGAGACAGCTTTGCTGCTCAACCTGCTGGCCCCCAATACCCAGGGGGGACAAAGTGTCTTTTTATAGGCCAGCCGATGAGTGCAAATGCCACAGATTCCTTTTAAGCTCTGGATTTGCTCGCTGACACTCTCCCAGTGGAATAGTTGACTGCCAGTCTCTTGACCTGCAGAAGCATATTTTTTTTAAAAAAAACCTGGCTGATGATCCAGGCCGACCGCCTTATACAGCTTTCTCCTCCTTTCGTTAACTTTATTGTCACATTGGGGGGGGGTCATGACCTTCCTCCAAAGATCTCAGGGGGGAAGGTACAGAATCCACCTCTCTTATCCTTACAGCCCTACACAGGCGGCAGGCCTGGCTAAGAGGCAACGGCTTCTCCCAAGCCACCTCTTGGTGGGACGAGGTCTCTCCGGGCCACCGATTGCCTTCTTACTTTGGAGAAGAAGAAGAAAAAGAAGAGGAGGAGGAGGAGGAGGAGGAGGAGGAGAAGGAAGAGGAGGATATTGGATTTATACCCCGCCCTTCACTACCCCAAGGAGTCTCAGAGTGGTTTACAATCTCCTTTCCCTCCCCCTCCCCACAACAGACACCCTGTGAAGTCGGTGGGGCTGAGAGAGCTCTGACAGAAACTGCCCTTGAGCGAACAGCTCTGAGAGAGCTTGTAACTGACCCAAGGTCACACCAGCAGCTGCATGTGGAGGAGTGGGGAGCCAAACCTGGTTCTCCCACACTAGAGTCCACGCTCCGAATCACTACCCCAAACTGTGTGTGTCTGTTAAGTGCTGTCAAGTTGCTTCCGTGTTATGGCGACCCTATGGATTTGTGTCCTCCAAAACATCCTCTCGTTAACAGCCTTGCTTAGGGTTGCCAGCTTCCAGGTGGTACCTGGAGATCTCCTGCTATTACAATTGATCCCCAGATGAAAGAGGTCAGTTCCCCTGGAGGAAATGGCTCCTCTGGAGGGTGGACTCTATGGCATTACGCCCTGCTGAGGAGGGCTCTTTTTGTAGCAGGAACTCATTTGCATATTAGGCCACCCCCCTAATGTAGCCAATCCTCCAAGAGCTTATAGAGCTCTTCTTACAGGAGCTACTGTAAGCTCTTGGAGGATTGGCTACATTAGGGCAAAGTACGATAGCCTCAATTTAGTCATTTTAGATTCTAGGGAGAGTTCAGGCTTGATTTGATCTATATCCCACTCACTTGCCTTTTTGGTGGTACACTACACTGTCCGTAAAACTCTCCTCCAACACCACATTTCAAAGGTGTCCCGAGCCCTGGGGTGCACTCGAAAGACCAGAGCGATGGGAACAAGCTGAGATACAGGGACGTCCCTATTACAGAGGCGCTGGGCAAAGGGAGGCGGGCACGGGTCAAGAACAGAGGGGCTTTACCTTGGAGCTGCGACGGTATCAAGGTCATTACCGAGGGGCTGGAGGAGGCAGGCTCGTCAGAGGTACACCACGAGCTTTCCAGAATTAACCCTCAACCAAGAAAAGGTGTTAGGGACAACACGTGTATCACGGGGAGCAATTGAAGCCGGGTTGGAGGGAAACACAAGGTGTTTTGAATCAATGTAATAACTGAATGTACCATGTAATAAAAAGAGGAAACGGAAAACACCGGGGAGGATTTACAGAGGAGATCGCGGGGTTTGAGGTACAGAGAGAAGGAGAAGCCCCTACCGGTCGACCTTCCTTCTGGAGGCGAGGCGCGGTGTGTGCCGAAACACCCGGCCCGCCTCAATCTGAGGTGTTGTTTCCGAGCTTGAGAAATTCTACCCCGGAGACTGGTGATTTTGCGTGGAGAAGCACCACGGATCCCAACAAAAGGAATCAACTTTCTTCCTGCCGGCATCCTTCATTTTCTAATTTTCGCACCCACACATAAAAATGGGTTTATGAATTATCTTGATCTTGGTTGCCAACAACGCCTCCTTACCCTTAAGAATCTTTTCTGGCTCCTTCATGGCTGCCCTCCCCAGTCTTGATCTCCTTCTGATTTCTTGGTTGCTGTCTCCCTTTTGGTTGATGACGGAGCCAAGAAACAGAAAATCTGGTCTTCTTACTAGGGATGCTCAAGCAGCTGCTGGGTTTCAGCCCACAAGCTGTTCGCCAGTCACGATCAGGGAGTCAGTTTTTCAACAGACTGTTTGTCAACTCATTTGTGGATGTTTGTTGGGCTGCTTCAACTATTCCTAACAATACAGTAACAAAACAATCATTTTTTCTGCACGTGTGAATCTCACACAGCTTGTGGAGTTCTACTCTCTCCCTTTGCTGGACCACTGCTCTGATTAACCTTTTGGAACGATTAATGGATGCTGATCGAGTTTGGATTGGCAGTGTTTTTGCATGTGTGCAGTTTTGCAAAAAAAAAAAACCCAAACCCATTGCAAAGTTGTTTGGCTGGCATTCACATCATTTGGTGCCAAACGGAACAGACTGGGAGATGGGCTCACATCCGATCGACAATGTCAATACGGTAAGACTGTCAAACACGTTCTCTGTGAAATTTGCAGCATCCCTAATTCTCACCACTGTACCGTGGTGGCTCTTAATTTTGCCTGGCTTCCTTAATGGCCCTTTTCTTCATCTCCCCCCCCCCCCCCACCCATTACACTTGGTGTTTCAGATGGGGCGGGTTCAAGGCATTTTTGGTCGCCCCAAGCAATGGCCACCTGTCTTCTCCTGGGTCCACAATGCTGCCAGTCAGATTAAAGTACTGGACTGTCAGAATGGATTCTTTTGAGTTCCATTGGACAATGTATTTTACTTCTGCCAGACATGGGGAAAGACAAAACTTGTCAGGTCATTGAAGCAGCTCCCCCCACCCCGAAATCCTGCACAGCGTCTCTCCAGCTTCACTTGATTTCTAAGATTTCGTCAAGTGTTGCCTGATCTTCACATCCTTAAAGGCTAGAAACGAAGTGCTGCAGCAAATGTTTGGGAGATCTGTTTTTTTTTTTTTAATGCAAAGCTTCTGTTCCTGGGTCTGCACCTCCCCCTCCCCCCAGCCCTACTTTCCAATCGCTTTGCAGCCCTCGTTGCCCAGGTTAGCATTACCTGAGAGGGCTTCTTTAGCCCTCAGATCCCAACCAGTCGGGGAGCCATGCAGTGAATATGATGACATTGTTCACAATATAGCCAATAAGAGTTGTAAACGAAGCTCTTCCACTGCCACTTTGCAAATTAGAGGAGGGGGGGATTACCCACTAATAGGCCAGGGGTCCCTAACCTTTTTTTGAGGGGGGGGGTTGTACTTTTCCTATGTGTGTGTATGTGCGCATGTGAGTGTGTGTGCATCTGGAAGTCGTGGCGACCGCTGCTGACTGTCCCTCCTGGGGGCCTGGGGGATATCCAGAGAGGTGGCTGAATAAAGCCTTCCCCGGCCTCCCAACTGCTGGTATTCCTTGGAGGTCTCCCATCCCAGTATTTGGCAGAGTCGACCTTGCTTAGCTTCTGAGATCTGAAGGGATCGGGCTTGCCTGGGCCATCCAGGTCAGGGCTGGGTCCCCAACCCTTTTGAGCCTGTGGGCACCTTTGGAATTCCGACAGAGCGTGGTGGGCTCAGCCACAAAATAGCTGCCATGGGAGGCGGAGCCAGCCACAGAATGGTTCTTACAGTTTATCTTCAGTCACACAGTGAAGATTCTTGTGTTGTTGTGGCAAAGCAACATTTTAAAAAGTCTCTCTGCACAACCAGTCAGAAGCCTTGCTGGGCAAAGGCCCTACCTGCCCCCGCCCACTTTCCAAAAACGTTTGGTGGGAGCCGGGAGAGGTGTCGGTGGGCCTGCTGGTGCCCCCGAGCACCGTGTTGAGGATCCTTGCATGAGGCAAACAGACCTGTAATCTCCTGGATCCCTGTTATTAATAATTGTTTGCTGCAATTGGGGTCATTTCGTAGAAAAAGAGGTGCAGGGGCTCATTAGCATAACTCATTAGCATAACTTATTTTCATATGCCACACCCCCTGACATCACCGGAAGTGTGTCAGAAGGCAACACCCACTGCTCAGGCTCCACTGGACTTTTTTTGGATTGCTAGCTATTTTGGGGGGGGGGGAACGTGGAGGACTGTCCTCGCAGAGGAGGGAGAGCTTGTACCTGAATAAAACTCGGACTTAAAAGTGCCACTGGACTGTTTTGGACCAGGGGGGCCAAGTGGGCTCTGCAACTTACCTGGCTGCTTCTTGCTCTGACTGAGGGCTGCTGGGAGCAGGGGGTGGGGCTTGTTGCATGTGCCCGCCCCCTGGGCTCTTTACTGCCGGAGCTCCGCTCCTGTGTGCTCCTGCAGGAAATGACCCCTGGTCTTTTAGCAGGTAGGGTGATTTTTAGAAGCAGGTTGTCTCTTTTTTTGTTTAAAAAAATCAGCAGGTTTTTTTTGCCTTTGAGTTCCTGGAAAACATATAATCCAGATGCTCTGACTCATTACTTTTAATTGTCCTCTTGCCACCTCGGCCTCACTCTGTTGTTCAGAGAATCTTCCTGAAAACAGCACGTGGCACGGGTAACCCCCCCTCCCCAGTCTTCCATGATGACACAGGAGCATTAATCTTTCAATCAGCACTCTTGATATGTCGATTCGATGATATCTGGCTCAGACCGGCCTTCACACAACAAAGACTGCAGCCAGTTCTCAATCTTGCCGGCCTCTTCACTGGGGCACAGACACAGACACACCCCGTCTTCTGCAGCTGGCA